TTAGGCCTCATGTTGTTCTCTAATCTACAGTTCTGTTCTCATTCTGCTTAGGCCTCATGTTGTTCTCTAATCTACAGTTCTGTTCTCATTTTGCTTAGGCCTCATGTTGTTCTCTAATCTACAGTTCTGTTCTCATTCTGCTTAGGCCTCATGTTGTTCTCTAATCTGCAGTTCTGTTCTCATTCTGCTTAGGCCTCATGTTGTTCTCTAATCTGCAGTTCTGTTCTCCTCATTTTGCTTAGGCCTCATGTTGTTCTCTAATCTACAGTTCTGTTCTCATTCTGCTTAGGCCTCATGTTGTTCTCTAATCTACAGTTCTGTTCTCATTCTGCTTAGGCCTCATGTTGTTCTCTAATCTGCAGTTCTGTTCTCATTCTGCTTAGGCCTCATGTTGTTCTCTAATCTGCAGTTCTGTTCTCATTCTGCTTAGGCCTCATGTTGTTCTCTAATCTACAGTTCTGTTCTCCTCATTCTGCTTAGGCCTCATGTTGTTCTCTAATCTACAGTTCTGTTCTCATTCTGCTTAGGCCTCATGTTGTTCTCTAATCTGCAGTTCTGTTCTCATTCTGCTTAGGCCTCATGTTGTTCTCTAATCTGCAGTTTCTGTTCTCATTCTGCTTTAGGCCTCATGTTGTTCTCTAATCTGCAGTTCTGTTTCTCATTCTGCTTAGGCCTCATGTTGTTCTCTAATCTGCAGTTCTGTTCTCATCTGCTTAGGCCCTCATGTTGTTCTCTAATCTGCAGTTCTGTTCTCATTCTGCTTAGGCCTCATGTTGTTCTCTAATCTGCAGTTCTGTTCTCATTCTGCTTAGGCCTCATGTTGTTCTCTAATCTGCAGTTCTGTTCTTATTCTGCTTAGGCCTCATGTTGTTCTCTAATCTGCAGTTCTGTTCTCCTCATTCTGCTTAGGCCTCATGTTGTTCTCTAATCTACAGTTCTGTTCTTATTCTGCTTAGGCCTCATGTTGTTCTCTAATCTGCAGTTCTGTTCTTATTCTGCTTAGGCCTCATGTTGTTCTCTAATCTGCAGTTCTGTTCTCCTCATTCTGCTTAGGCCTCATGTTGTTCTCTAATCTGCAGTTCTGTTCTTATTCTGCTTAGGCCTCATGTTGTTCACTAATCTACAGTTCTGTTCTCCTCATTCTGCTTAGGCCTCATGTTGTTCTCTAATCTACAGTTCTGTTCTCATTCTGCTTAGGCCTCATGTTGTTCTCCTAATCTACAGTTTCTGTTCTCCTCATTCTGCTTAGGCCTCATGTTGTTTCTCCTAATCTACAGTTCTGTTCTCATTCTGCTTAGCCTCATGTTGTTCTCTAATCTACAGTTCTGTTCTCATTCTGCTTAGGCCTCATGTTGTTCTCTAATCTGCAGTTCTGTTCTTATTCTGCTTAGGCCTCATGTTGTTCACTAATCTACAGTTCTGTTCTCCTCATTCTGCTTAGGCCTCATGTTGTTCTCTAATCTACAGTTCTGTTCTCATTCTGCTTAGGCCTCATGTTGTTCTCTAATCTACAGTTCTGTTCTCCTCATTCTGCTTAGGCCTCATGTTGTTCTCTAATCTACAGTTCTGTTCTCATTCTGCTTAGGCCTCATGTTGTTCTCTAATCTACAGTTCTGTTCTCATTCTGCTTAGGCCTCATGTTGTTCTCTAATCTACAGTTCTGTTCTCATTCTGCTTAGGCCTCATGTTGTTCACTAATCTGCAGTACTGTTCTCATTCTGCTTAGGCCTCATGTTGTTCACTAATCTGCAGTTCTGTTCTCCTCATTCTGCTTAGGCCTTCTTCTCTTATATCCACGACCCCACCATTTATTCTCTTCGTCTGTTCACGTTGTTCTCAAACCTGTTCTGTTTAACAACAGGCTTTATTTTTAAGGACCCTACCCCTGTCGTTGTCCGGATACTTTTTTTTCTTCTATGCCCTCATCACATTTTGTACTCAAACGGACTCACTCTTTTCTTTTTATGCTTTCCCCTACTCTTCTCAGCACTTCTTATTCCCGTCTTCTTTCTCAGACCTTTCTCCATTGTTCTCGGCATTCCAATTTCCTCTCTTGGCCTCCAACCTATGCTTATCTCAGACCTTCTCCCACTGTCCTCCTCAAGTCGGCACACATTTCCTCTGCTTCCCTCAGACCTTCTCCCACTGTCCTTCTCAAGTCGGCACACATTTCCTCTGCTTCCCTCAGACCTTCTCCCACTGTCCTTCTCAAGTCGGCACACATTTCCTCTGCTTCCCTCAGACCTTCTCCCACTGTCCTTCTCTAGTCGGCACACATTTCCTCTGCTTCCCTCAGACCTTCTCCCACTGTCCTTCTCTAGTCGGCACACATTTCCTCTGCTTCCCTCAGACCTTCTCAGTCCTTCTCAAGTCGGCACACATTTCCTCTGCTTCCCTCAGACCTCTCCCACTGTCCTTCTCTAGTCGGCACACATTTCCTCTGCTTCCCTCAGACCTTCTCCCACTGTCCTTCTCTAGTCGGCACACATTTCCTCTGCTTCCCTCAGACCTTCTCCCACTGTCCTCCTCAAGTGGACACACATTTCCTCTGCTTCCCTCAGACCTTCTCCCACTGTCCTCCTCAAGTCGGCACACATTTCCTCTGCTTCCCTCAGGCCTTCTCCCACTGTCCTCCTCAAGTCGGCACACATTTATTATTACTACACCCCCATTTACCTTACCATCCCCTTTCCCCCAACAACTCATTATGCCTCAACAAAGTACGCATGTCTTCTTTTTTAGTCAGACATATCTCAGAATTTGCCAAGAAACTGAAACGATCTTTTAGCCAGCCCTTGGATTGAGATTCTAAACATTACCGAGAAATCAGATCACAGTGTTCCGTTTCGCTTTTTTCCGGCGTACGATTATTGTCGCTGATTGAAACATCAGACAGGACGTAAGGAGGTCTTGAGCAGAGTAAAGGAGACCAGAGCAGGATGCATCTGGATTGAACATTGATACCTGGTGGATGTTCTGTTGGCATGCCAACGGGGACACGGGGGTATCAAATTGTCTTCCTGCTGGGTGTTGTGAACATCTTGTCAGGTTGTTAGTGTTCTGTCCCCCACCCCCTTTCCCCGTTTATGTGGTTGGTTCAGGTGTGCGTGCGCGTTTTTGTGGTGGTTGGTTAAATGATTTGGTAATGTGATGGTTGTTGGATAACTTGTTGGCGCAGGTGTTTGCTGTTTCTATTTCTTTGAAAAAATTGTGGATGCGTTTGTGTTTTTGTATCAGTTTGTTGTATTATTTGTGGACATGGCTGTTCTGTACGTAGTTTCAACATAGCTTGCTTTTGACAGTTTTATTGTTGTGTGATCTGTTGCTGTTTTGTCAGTTGTTTATTGTCTGACCGTGTTGGAATCCACTTTATGGTTTGAATAGTTTCTTGTGTATGGTGTGTTTGCATTGGTGATTGTTGTATGATCTTCTGATATCATGTGCGCTTTGTATGGTTCGCTGGTATGTTGTATATTTTTATTGGTATTTTGTATGTTGTATGATTTGTTGGTATTCTGTTTTTACTGCTTGATTTGTTGGTTCATTTGCTATATGATGGGTCAGTTTTGTGTTTGAGGTATGATCTTTTGGTGTTTGTTGTGTGAACTGTTTGTAGTGATTATGTCATTTTCTGGTTGTATATTTGTTGTATAGTCTGTTGTTATTGGTGTTTGTTTGTTGGTATGTTAAATGATTTATTGGTATTGTTGTTTGTATGGTCAGCTGTATTCATATTCGTTGTGAGATCTGTTGGTATTTTTAGCGTGTGTTGTATGGTTTGTTGTGTGATTTATTGGTATTTAAAAAAAAAATCTACTTTTGGTATTCAAATTTGTTGTAAGATTTGTTGATACTGGTGTTTGTTGTATACTTTGTTGGTATGGTTGTTAGCTGATGCAGTACAGGACTTGTTTTCATGGGTATGTCATGATTTGTATGATGTGTTCATAAATATGTTTGTTTGTTGTTCAGTTGTATGGCTTTTTTGCACATTGCTTTCTTCAGCCCCATGAAGATATGGCTGTTATGTGAGCAGGCTTGCATCAGTCATAGTCACTTTTTCTGTGAGTGAGGAGAGGTAGTGTTCATTAGTTGGGCGGTATATTGAATGGGCTGCATTTAAATAAAAAGTAAATAAAAAAAAAATGCTGTTGCATGTGTATCATCATGTGACCTGCCAACTGGCGTAGGCATTCATACGTCTCCACAGATCACCATCTCTGGTTGCCTGGAACAGCTCTTTCCATGCCATCATTTCGGCCCATCCAGCATCGTCTCTCTTGGTCTGCTGTTACACCTTTTTTCATTGATCTTTCCAGTTGTCAGATGTTCTCCAGTGTCTCTCTGTAAAACAGGTGTGCATACACCAAGCCGATTGTGGAACAGGGCTAAAGTCCAGAAGTGCATGAACAACTAGAACTTTCTGCTGGAGTTTACAGCCAGTGAATATAAAGAAGAAGATTTCATATGTTCACTAGTGCAAGTTCGGATTTTATTTGTTTTCCCACTTTTTTCCCCCCCCCCCCCCCCCCCCCCCCCCCCCCCCCCCCCCCCCCCCCCCCCCCCCCCCCCACCCACCACCAAAAACACACCTTACAGAGTCTTTAGCATAAGGGGCCAGCATTCTAACTACCATTCAGCTAGTTACTGTAAAATCTTTATACCAGATACAGCTCAGAAAGATCTACCAGATCAACTCCTGCAGATCAGAGGGGGACCCACCGCTTCTTAATCAGCTTATATAAAAGTCAGATAAATGTTTGCTGCTATCACATGTGCTGAGAGGCTCAGATATCACAGCCTAGCAGCAGATCACAACACGACATGCCAACCGACTTTACAAAAGGACAAATGAAGAAGAAGAAGATGTGAATCACCACAATAGACTGCAGATTGCAGCTTATGCAGGAAACAAAATTACAGATGTAAATTGGAAAAAAAGAGAAGAAAAAAGAAGTGATTTATTACTAAATGTTCTGTTTGTTGTGTGGCCTGTACAGATGACAATCCGGCACTGTCCTCACACACCAGCCTGTGCGATGAGAGTTTTGAGGATGATGGCCAGCCTGGCCAAGCAGCCTTTGCTGGACTGGACGGTGGAGAGACCAGCATGACCGAAAGTGCTGAGAGCTGCCTGCTGGATGTTTGCGGGCTGATCCAGAAGCTGGATTCTGAGAGGTTGGTCTGTTTTGTTATGTGACATTAATTTTACTGTTGTACTTTTCTTCTGCATTGCCAGTTGTTCCTGCTGGTGGAAAGTCCTGGTTTATTAGCTTTGTGACTGAATTGTGTTCTTGTTCTAGGAGTTGAGTGTTGCGTGCACATCTGTTTTCCAGATCTTGCTTTTTATATGCGGACATGATCTGGCAGTTGCAAAATCATTACAGCAGAGATGCCTTCGAAGAGCGGCAGGAGTAACAAGGATAGATAGCATTATAAATGAAGAAATTAGAGCAGGACTAGAACTGAAACCAGTCTTACAGTTGATTAAAGACCAACAGATGAGATGGTTTGGCCACCTGACTAGAATGTCCTGGTACTAAATGCCACAGAGAGCCAGCTGAAGAAATATAATACACAAAACTAGAGGAAGATCATGCAGAATATAGAATGGTGACATCAAGAACAGCCTTAAAATAATGAGTTTGAATGCTCATCAGGTGGACTTGAGTTTAAATAATGACACTGGCTTCCCCTTTTCCCCTTGTAAATTAACTATTTTCAGCCCAAGATATGAAGATTATAATTTGGGTATTTGATCTGGTATCTTTCTTGTCTGTGCTGCCTAACATTTACTGGTCATCCATCTGTGTATGTCGCCTGTTGTCTGATTCATCAGAGTTTGGGGCCTAGCGTCTGATGCTGCAAGTTTTCTGGTGACAACACCTACTTTTTTTTGCTCCTGGGACACCTTGGCCTTCTGATCAGCTCAGCTTAAAATAAGTACTGACTCATGTCCTGGGACACCTTGGCCTTCTGATCAGCTCAGCTTAAAATAAGTACTGACTCATGTCCTGGGACACCTTGGCCTTCTGATCAGCTCAGCTTAAAATAAGTACTGACTCATGTCCTGGGAAGAAAAGGTGGCTATGACCACTCATCAGGACCTGGTTTGTGCTCCCACCTCCCTTTATTTTTTTGGGGTGTAAATCTTTTTTGGTTACACTGAAGAGATTTTCTAGTGAATAAGTATAGTCTTGTCTGTTTCTAACTTCAGGAAACAGCTGTTGATGGAGCATGAAAGAGATGAGCAGCATAGACACTGGTTCTACAAGCAGCTGAAGACAATCACACAGAAGATGGAAGGCCTACAGCATTCGGAAAAGGTATATTTCAGTCTTCTGTTTGCTACTTCTCTTTCTTTATCCATTAGCTACCTCAGCAAAGTTTTCTGGGGAGATTTAAAAAAAACAAGTTTCCCCAGTTTGCATTCTTTTGGATTATCATCGCCAGGATGAGAATCCAAACAGGTGGAAACCTGATTAATTTAACCATAAAGCCACATAGCACAGTTATATTGGGGCACCTCAAAAGGCTAAAGAAGTAGCCTGTTGGCCAGCATTGGTGGGTTGTGTGTGATGTAAGAATCTTCTCTGTTCTTTCTATTGTGAATGTTTCTAAGCTTGTTCTTGATCTTGTTTCTCCATCTCTCCTGTGGTATTCCCTTTGCACTCTACTCATATATCTTCAGCATGGCTTTTTGTGGTAACTAGTTATCCCCTTGTGAGATGCAACTTTTCGTTATTTTGAAGCCCTACCCTGGCTCTTGACAGGGGCTGCAATATAGACCGGCTATAAATATGGTCTAATGACTGAATGCGGTTTCCGGGACCTCTCCACGGGTGATCCTCATCCACATGGCTAAATCATTTTATCTGTTCTCTTATGAATCATGTGATCGGTTTCAGCTCTAGCCTTTTTTCTTATTTGTTCCTTTTAATTTTGTTTCTTTGTTATACCCCCCCCCCCTCCCCCCAAGGACCATAGACCCTCAGTAGAGCTCTCCATGTCATTCTATCCTTTGCTACCATTTAAAATTAATCCCTTGTTAGTTTGGCAGCTTTTTAAGGTATCTTCTCTGTTGTTATGATTATCTTCTTCTTTATAGTAAGTCTTCATATTTGACACTGGTAACATTTGGTTAAATAAATTCTACATGCACATGGTGATTTATTAGAAGCATACATTACAAATTGTATAATTCAAATGAAAGATAAAACGTAAAATATTTTAAAATATAGAATGTTGTAATATTATAAGAAGAGTTTGGCGGTACCTAAGATGTGGTTCTGGGGAAGAATGTTGCGAATACCTTGGACTGCCAGAATAACTAACAACGATTGCCTCAAAAAGTAGAACGTTATATACAACAGTGAGAAGGTGATGAGAAAAGGGGTGCTGGAAAATAACGTGAGGACTAAAATGATTACTGGTAGAAGCAACGACAGACCAAGGGAAATGATAGTGGATGGTTTGAGACAGTGGCATGGAGGAATGTCAGTGGAATTGATCCACAACACCAAAGACTGAGATCTGTGGAGATACGTGAATGCCTGTGCCCGCCTCCAAGGCACTGGATGATGATGTTGATTTTAAGAGTATGTTGTTGTTCACACTGATTAAGCTTTTGTTTTGACACTATAAATTTATGACAGGGGAAAAAATGTGAATGACCCTTTCAGTGGTCAAATGGTGCTATTCAGTCATTCATTAGCAAGTTTTGTCATTATATGTCACAAAAGGCTGGCAATCTATTCTTCCATTCTGTTCTGTTCTGTGCAGTCACTTAGATATCATGGATGGAATCCAGTCTGGCACCTCTGATGCTATACCCATCACTTTATAGGTGCCTCAGTTATTGATAGAGTGTGTGGTTAACATCATGCAGGTCACCTTTACTTTCCTGGACATTTCCTGGTACATATTTCAGTCTGGTTTGAACTGGAAGCCTTGGTCAGTTGTAAAAATATCCTTGACTTGATGTAGTTTAAACCCATGATTTTTGGGCCAGCATGCAAGTGTCTAACCACACAGCGGTGCACAAGAAACAATAGTTACATAGAAATACTCGTATTTATTTGACTTTAAAATCTTTCTGGTCATGGATCCTATTTTTTTTCACTTGTCAAATTTTTCGACAGCGGGGCATCACACATGGGATGCAAGATTCACATTTAAAAAAAAACAACAACAACCAGCTGACACTGTCAGTGGATCAACATTACACAAACTGCCTTTACTTCCCAGAAAATTACCTGGTACCCATTTAAGGCTGGGTTGACATGTGGGCCAAGGTCAGGTTTCAAAGGGAAAAATCCAAATGCAGAATCGAGCCTAAAGCTTAAGGCTAACAGGCGAGTGTCTAGGTGCTATAACTCTGCTGCCAGTTTCTGTCGCTAGTCTATGGTAAAAGCTGTTGTTTCCTGCCCATTTGTCATACTATTACATTAGAATTGCATAACTGTTTTACCTTTTTCTCTTCAGTTTTCAGTGCAGGCAGATATTGCCAGGTGCCAGTTAGAGATGGAGGCTCACAAAGTCCAGGGTGCCATGCAAGAAAAATTGGGGTCGGGGGAGCAGAGCAAACTTAGGCAGGAGGCCAGGTTGGACAGGATTAGGAATCTTGATTCCGAGATCAGATCCTTACAAGTGAAAGCAAAGCAGGTGTGTTTCATGAATATTTATTTGCCCATCTCTTGCTGTTTTAATCATTGTAAATTCTGAGGTCTTCAATAAGACTATTAAAAAGTATGGGGTAATTGGAAGACCTTTGAAAATAATAGGGGTCTGCAGCACTTGGCTAATCAGAAAGCCCTGGTCTAGAGGGTCTACAGGTTGGTTAGTTGGTAGGTTGGCAAGGCAGCTAGGTTCCTTTCAGCTTTTTTACCCCATCTCTTTAGCTGTGAGATTTTGTAGGGAATGCCTAGATAGTTCTCTGGAAGGTCCTGTAGGTATAGGGGGATTAGAGTTAGGGTCAGTGAAAGTCTGTGTTCATTTAACAGTAGCACTGCGACACTGCCAATCTTATGTTATAAGCATGTGATGTGTTGATTCTTTTCAATATCTTCATCGTTTACTACGTCATCAATTGCCATGCGTTTTACTGTTGTTTGTTCGTCGCCATCATCCAGGCCCTTTTTGCAAGCGGTGTTCTTCGTCACTTCACTTCGCCGTGAATTTCCTTGATCTGTCACCATTCTTACATCTAATCCTCACCGACAAGTATTCGTACATGGAGACTCTCTCCTTTCCAGGGCCCTTCCCCGCCGACACTCCAAGATGACCCTTTTCAGGGCCCAAAATATTTGCAGCTCACATTGCACTGCCTAATATCTACACAAGAGAACCACTAGTTCAAGCTGAACTTTACAGGTAGCTAAGTGAATTACAGAATGCAACAAAGTTCATACTAGAGATGACATCGCAGATGTAGATAATCTAGCTTGGCTGATCGGAAGTAGAAGAGGAGGAAACTAACCCTGACCCAAAACCCCCTTATACTATAGGACATCCAGGAAACCACCTAGAAATTCCCTACCTAATCTTGCAGCTGACCAGATGCGGTGAAACACTGGAAAAAAAAAAATACCAAGAAATAAATCCGATGAACTGTGTCCTAAAAACTTAACAAAATGAGGAAGCAGAACAACACACACAAAACAACACATTATTTGTTTATCACAGTTCTCTTGATACATTTCTTGGTGTTAGCTTACTGCAGTCACTCCTATTTTCTCCACTTTTTTAAAAAGCACCAGCAGTTATGTTTTAGCTTGGTTGGCCAGCAGGAAGAAAACATGGCTGCATATGTCTCTGTGGTGGTAGAAAATACAGAAGACAGCACAGTTAAAAAAACAAACGGGTAGGTTGTTTGGTAGTTCTTTTTCTGTTTTTGCCCTTAAAAGTTAAAAGAGGAAGTGAAGAAGAAGGAGAAGCCCTTAAAAGGGAGATTGGCATGTTGTGATTTACAGTCAGGCTGTGATATCTGGTTTTTAACCAGTGCATCCAGTGTCAGCAAAACTTAATTTTTACAACATACTTGCTAAGGAACGGTGGGTATATTTTTATTTTTCTCAAAATATGGTGCCCCAGGGCCCGTATACGGAGGTGGATAGCTTCACTGTCAGTCAGTGACGAGAGGAAGTTTAACTAGTTCTCCACAGAAGTGTTGTAGAGGCTTGCCTGACTGAAAAATTTAGCTGTGCTTTGGTGAACTTATTAAACAACATTGGCATGTCTCTCTACCTAGGCATCCAGAGACGTGAAAGATGCTGCCACTGGGACAATGCTGGGAAGAGATGTATGTGTTTCTTGTTGTGTTTGTATGTGTTTCTTGTTTTGTTTGTATGTGTTTCTTGTTTATTCTGTTTGTTTGACTCTCAGATTTAGTCCTTTCCTGATAGTGTGTGTACCCCCCCCCATCATGAACTTGAAAAAAATAGATAACTGAATGTGTACAGTATCTGGCTGTTTCTGCTTCTCTTTCTGTCAGTCTATCACTCTTTTTTTTTTCTCTCTCTCTCTCTCTCTCTCTCTCTCTTCTCTCTTCTCTCTCTGTATCCTTAACACTATCTTTATATTAGACCCCCCCCCCCCCCCCCTCTCTTTCATGCATGTATGTATGAGCACACAGACACACGTTTTATGCTTTCTGTGTTATTCAAATCTCTACTAAGTCATGATATTATAAACATATCTGGGGGGGGGGGGGGGGGGGGGGGGGGGGGGGGGAGGGGGGGGGGGGGGGGGGCCTGAGTTTCTTGTCTAAGTGTGCCTTCTCTGTACACCATTAAATCAGTTTGTGAGCTGAGGGGGATTGTTTCCTAACTTTTTTCTACTTTTTATCCCTTTTTATTTTTAGCCTTTTCTATCAACCAGCCTCTGGTTGCAGTAGCAAAGCGGTTAAACAGTTCCATGCCGGCCTAAAGGGCTAGCGTTCAAATCTACATGGAGGTGGATATTTTACAGCATTGACCTTGCCTCCAGCATTGACCTTTCCCTACATGGGTACCAGACAATGCCATGGGAAGTAAAGGCAGCTGACATGATGTTGACCATATCATCCATCAAGTGTTGTTGAATTAAGAATCAACATCTTAGCGCTTGGGACATTTCCACAATCACTGCTTCCCATCTTCAGCAGCAAACGAAGAGTTCCAAATCTGATGGTACCAGTAACTGATTGTATTTCGTCCTGCCTTTCCCTTGAATGTTAAGCTTCAGCCAGATCCCCTGGTAACTCCTTGCAGCATGATTCTCCTCAGACCGCAATGGTCCATTTGTACCTTTTCACTGTTCACACACTCCCAAAGGGCCCTCACAATATCTAGCTTGTCATTCATCAGTTCACCACCAAGTGATGCAGAACTGGCCAGTCTTGTCTGCCTGCTTGGTTCACAACACACCAGCATGACCTGGAGAAAATAACTAGTGTTGACTGGTCTATTAAAATGCAATTCTAGCAGACGACAGCCATTCACTGCGCGTTGCTTCACAATTTAGTGTGGAGCACATTTTTTGATGACATCGTGTACTTCATTTCACAAATTTGTTATAGAGACTTTACAAACACCCTGTGTAGCCCAATGGACCAGTGGCATGAAACAGGCCCTTTACTTGTTTCCCTTTTACAGGGAGAATTATTCTTGAAAACTTCGGAAAAAAAAAAAAAACTCCCATCTTGTTGGGTAAAGAATAAATAAAGTGAAGACACAGATTTAACCTTTTCCTCCCGCAAATACTTAAAAAAATGGGGGTCATAAACTTATGGCAATTCCCAGACACAACCCTAACAAAACAACCATGATACACAGGTCACTTAATAAGTAGTTTGCAGATGTATTTATCTACATTTGTGAATTGTTCTTATCAAATATGTAAAGATGTACAAAGTAAACACAGTGAAGCATTAGGTGGAATACATTTCTGTGACCTAAAAAAAAAAAAACCCAATATGTGTCGAGTGACTCATGTCATAACCCCTATAACGGAGCAGCAGAACTTTTGGCATCAGCGGCTGTACTAAAGCCATTAATGTCATAAGGAACACACACACAAGTTGTGGCCCCCCCCCCCCCCCCCCCCAGTTGCTATATTCATATCTTGATACCCCCCCCAATAATATTTGCAGTTGCTATATTTATATCCAGGCATGTCAAACACTTCACAGGAGCACATGATAGAATTTTACTATGCTTCTTGAGAATAAGTCGCTGCAAAGAGCAGATGTATTGGCAGAATTGCGTCACACCCGGAAGTGACTAGATTGAGTCCTCTCGGGGTGACAGAGTTGAAATTAAAACCAAAACCTGAATCTGTTTGAGACTCTTGTCTTGGGTTTAGAGGGTGAACCATTATAAACCACATTTATTGATGTGGCACGTGGTTAATTTTGTTTCTTTTTTAAAGGTGTTCAAAATCAAGCCCAACCAAGAGGATGGAGTAGGTGGCTATGTAGCAGACCACACTGCCACTCATAATGGTCGCTGTATCTCGTTGGCTACACAGACAGGGGACGTCACTCTCCTGGAGATACCTGACGGAGTTGCTCCAGGAATCCCAATGAGTTCTAATATAATGGCTATGTACCACGGAGCATGGCCGATTGAGAAGGGTTTGTTTCTTATGTGTGACTGTTGAAAGTCTGCAGGCTGTCTCCCGCTTACTCACTGTTTCTGTGCCAGCTGCACTCTCTCAGGTTTGAGGTTTTGACCAACAGATCATCATGATGGCACACGGGTAGTAACCCACGTGTTCTCTTCTTCTAACTCAAGTCTGAGTCCAAAGAAGCTCAGCACAGTGCACAGGCTCTGTAGCACCGGCGAGGATCCTGAAATACTTTGGGTAGATTTTTAACTCTAAATTTTGCCCAGGCAATGATGTAAGGCTACTCTTTTCGATTTCCAACCGCCAAGGAATTTTGCAACATTGCACAAGCGTGTCCAATCTCACTACCCAGAGACCAGGGCGAATTTTTAGAAGTCCAAGTCCGAGTGGAAAAAATCCTAACCCTTACCGGGGACTGAACCCTGAACCTCAAGCACCCGAGGCAGACACCATGCCTCAAGACCACACAGCTCCCCTCTCTTACTGTCAGTACCTGTCTTTCTGTCATTGTTACCTTTGCCATCTCTGTCCCTCCCTTATTCTGTCTTGCTCTCTCACCCTTTCAGCAGCTGATTCTATGTTACCTTGTATGGTATGTACAGAATTAAGCGAGGAAGGTATTTTGGGTGGAAAGGGGAGGGGGGAGGTGTGTTCTATTCAGTGCCTCTCCCCTCCCCGCGTACTCTCTTCCTTTGCTTGATTCATTTATCTTTCCTTCCCCTTTGTCCCCATATTTCCTCCTCACACCCTTTCTTGCACTCTCTGTCTCCTTTCGCTCGCTGCCCATTGCTCTCTCTACATTGCTCTTCCATCAATCACCTCTCTCTTGCACTCTCTCCTTTCCCTCTCTATCCCTTTTAGCAAACCCCCTATCTCTTCCATCTGTTTTTACCTTCTTCCCTATCCCTTTTCTTCCTCTTCTCTCCCTCTCTCTCTTCCAGTCTTTGTCCCTGCGTAAGCCTCTCTCCCCTTTCACCACCCATTACTATCCATGTTTCTTATCCAGGTAATGGAACATTCTGTTTTGGAAAGTCTTGATGTATGAAGTGCACGCACAGGTACACCAAAATGTTCAGCAAATAGAAATGCATCCCTAACTCATTAAATGTCTCCTAATTCGTCCCTCTTGTAGGTTTCAGAACCTCATTTTGGAAGAAAAGGCGGGGAGGGGGGGGGGGGGGGGGAGAACAGAGCTGCTGCACCCCTCATAGGCATGCCATAAACAAGAGACTGATTAGTGTTTTAGCTGAAACATGCATTTGGCCAAAAGGTGCAGTCATTCAAAGCCTAGCTGTAAACCACAATGCAGTGTACTTACTGCCGCATCAAACACAGAAGAATTAGAATTAACCTGAATTTTCTGTGCATCTCCAGCAATTACAGGTGGCAACGGCTCGTACTGCAGCCCTTTGTCCCAGGACCTGGCCAGCGTCATCAGCTTCAACTCCACCAACACGGCTAGGAGTGACAGCCTTGGGGCGGCGTCTGGCAGTTCCCACTCAGGGTCTGCTGCTTCTGCCATGGGTGAACAGTCTCATCCTCTGGGGACTAAGGTTAGAGTCATCATTGTTGTTATCATCATTTTTGCTGTTATCTCTGAAATAGTCCTGTCATTGCTATTTTTGCTGTTCAACATGTTGTAATCTTATAATCTTTGCTTTTTATCAGTGGTAAAATCAGCATCTTTTATCATCTTTTATCCTTGCTCTCTTTTGTCAGTGTTATCAGGGCTATCATCTTAGCAGTTGTATTTAATCAGTATAGTTAATCATGCCACAAAGCAATGGACATTTCCCCTGTACCTGCCTCTTGCTAGGTTGCCTTCAGCTTTCTCTGCCACCATGTTATTAAAAATTTAAATCATGCCACCCTTCTATTTTTAATGTGCTAAAAATGTTTTTCTTTCTTTCTGTTGAACTCTTGACTTGAAATTGCCTGGAAATACTACACAACAGCAAAGAGTAAATGTTTACCTTTTTTCTCTATGGGGGAGGGGGGGGGGGCAATGTTCCCGAGAGCAAAAGGATTAAAGAGTTTGTTAAATTCACAGTAAAAGGGACCACTGGGATATCCCGTTTTCCCCAGCATTCTCTGACCAAATGAGATTCTGATGGTTGTGACTAAAGTGGAAGAGACACAATCACAGATCAAACATTGCTCGGGGTGGAAACACGTAAAATATATTTATTGGCAGTGTTCATCACCTTCACAGTTTCATGATGACATTGACTCATTACTATGTGCCGATCAGTACACTTTCTGTTACTTGATTAATTTATAATATTTAATGGCCTCAAAGGTTCCCCCTCTGTTTATTTATAGGAATGATGTATACCCAGCGGAACCTACCAATCAAATACCTTTCTTAAATGTTTGTGTATTTTAGACAAAGCATTAAGGTCTACGGTGTTCTTTAATTGTTGGTGGGATTGTTATTCGACATATACTTCATTAATATACATTTCTGTAACCTTTGGTGCCATTTCAATGGTTTGAAATGAATTCTGTCCATTTTCCATAGTTGTGGATTTCAGGTTGTACGATAGACATGGCCAATAAGACACCTTTTTTTTTGGGGTGTGCCTAGTTGACCATGTATCTTAGTGCACTTCTTTCCACAGCGAGCCGCACACATCGTCTGGAGATGACAGGTTCAATTCCCAGCACGGTAACTATAGCTTTCGATTTTTATGTTGTCAAATGTGTTCTTCTATCTTTCTACTTTTGTCTGTGAGTGCCGATCAATACACTTTCTGTTACTTGATTAATTTAAAATCATTAACATTGAAATGTTCTTTTGGTGGTAACGCCCTGCAGGTGGAAATGGTGTACTCCTTGTTGAGCATGCTGGGAACTCATGATAAAGACGATATGTCGAGGACACTGTTTGCCATGTCACAGTCTCAGGACAGCTGTATCGCCATGCGGCAGTCAGGTAACCATTACTGGACATTTATTCTCCTTAGCATTGGCCTGCTGTAAATTGTGATGGGGAGTTCTGATTGTTTGTCCACTTCTGGATTTTGGTCATGTGTTGAGGACTTGAGTGTTGAATGCACATGCATTTTACACATCTGGCTTTTTTTTAATACAAACTGTTGGTTTCTGCAGATGTGCTCTAAGAAAAAAGCACCCCTGATTAGTCGCCTTCATGACACTTTTTAAGGAGCAGGGTTTCCTCACCCCACAGTATGAGGCCCTCAAACCCACACGAGGAAATTATTTAATAATAACTGTCCACAGTTCATTTCATATGGCTTTGTGCAGAAAAAACCAAAAGTTATAACGAAGCAAAATATAATTAATGGAAAAAGTTTGTTTGTGTTTACCTGTGGCCACCATTTCAGAGAGTTTCTCAGTAACCTAAGGACTCAGGATAGTACTGGTATTTTCATACACCCTCATGTCCAATAATATCTCACCTTCATTGACTGTCTTGTAGAGTGGTTGCTTTCCTACCCGTTACTTGATTCTTTCCATCCTATCTCATTACTATTGACCCCCAACAGGCAAGTTCTACTAACTATTGGAACTAACTTTTACCCAGAAATAGTTACATTTCCATGCATGAGACATATCCTGCCATTGTGGTTTTGTCTGTTACTAGGGGGTTCCCTTGTATGTTTGCATTCACAGATTCCTGATAAATATTTCCTAATCACAATTGGTCTTTGAAGATTTGTAGAGAACAAACTGATTTTTTTTTTAAAATAACTACATTTCACTGTTTTGTCAACGATCAGTGGGCCACTTGCTAGGCCTCCGCGGGCCAGATTTGACCCCTGGGTCGCTAGTTGAACAGCCCTCTTCTAGACTATAAATGTGCAAACTCTGTGTTGCAGCACATTAGTGTGTCAGCGGCAGTTTGAAGGTGTGTTATGTGAACACAAAGCATTAAACAGTGTATTCTGCAGTTCTATGCCATATTAAAATTTTTAACTTTGATTTTATAGTTGCTGCTATGTCTTGTATACCAAAGTCTCTTACATTTTTTAAATGGGGGGGGGGGGGAATTTGTGTAATTGTCTCTCTTAAAAAAAAGCTAGTTGAACCTTTGGTTGGCTAGTCGACCTAATTACTGTGTCATGAAATTAATTTTGGTTTAAAAGTGGGGCCAAAATAAAATGTTTGGAAAGCTCTACTTCAGACAAATACATTCAGGTGCTATTTATTTTACAATAATCTCCCCTTGAATTGATCTCTAGGTTGCCTCCCCTTGTTGCTGCAGCTACTACATGGCAGTGAGAAGGACTCTGGACTTCTAGGAAAGACCCGCGGCAGTAAAGGGGCCCGGGTGCGGGCAGCAGCAGCCCTGCGGAACATTGTCAAGTGTAACCATGACGATAAGAGAGGGAGGAGAGAGGCAAGGACGCTAAGACTGCTGGAGCAGCTGCGGGCATATTGTGATCAGCAGAGAGGGGAGAGCGAGGATGAGGACGAGGAGACAGTTATTAACAGTGAGTGGTTGTGTGTGTGTGTTTGTATCATAGTCATTGGGGGAAAGGGGGGGGGGGGTATCAGGTGTAGATTTCACTCTGGGAAAGACAAAGCTTAGGGCCTGGCACCTTTTTCTGGTGTTGGCATTAGTAAAGACAGTACCACAGTAAAATCTTCTTCTTCTTCTTTGCGTTCGGTTTCATATGCTCAGATCAGACCATCAGGTGGGTTGCCTCTATGAACTCGCATGTCAGCTGCAGGTCCCGCATGGTTCCCCTATAGCTTGCTCTGCACACTTTGTTCTTGAGGCCAGGTGTCTTTTTGAAGTTGTAGGTAGAGCGGGCAGGTCTGCAGAATGTGCTGAGGTGTTTGGGGTCCTGTTTGACAGGCACACTGGGGGGACTGTACAATCTTTATTTTATGCATGTGGTAGTTGAGCCTGCAGTGTCCTGTTCGTCTGCTGATGGGGTCTTGTGGATGTTTACTGTTATTTTGTTCTCTCCACAATCCCTTGTATTTTCCTTTGATAAGTGTTCTAATTTCTGGTAATGACAATGAAAGTAAAATCAACATTGTGATAAACTTGTTTGCACTATTGCTGATTGCTACAGCTCTACTTGTGAGATTGTTGTGTTTACCTGGGTCTTGCACTCGTTCTACCGTCTGGGGATTATAACACACAAACAACACTCGGTTTCCATTGTACCAGCTATGAGTTTATTCTGATACATGCTGACCATTGTTCACGCATCCATATCTTCTAGCTGACTATTAACACTAGTCATCCAAACAACATTGGAAATATCTCCTCTAATAAAACTGCATCTTCCAATAAGACAACTGACTTCCTTGAATTCTCTGATGCGACTGACCACGAGTTTAGCTCGGGCCTGCCCAAATCTACTCAACAGGCCCTAAGGATCCTGTGCGGTCACTTGGTGCCCGGGTTTCCAGTCTGGCTCGCTTTATGTGTGGAGAGCATGCGAAGCACCTCGTCACAAACATCAGAAAGATAACTTGAGTGGCCAGAAATATTTTCAGCATATTTGAAAGTTGAGAGATGCCAGTGGAGGACTTACAAATGTTTTGGCATCAACTGATTCTTCTTCTTCTTCCATGTTCACCATTAAAAGGGAAATAAGTATATTGTGTTGGGGCTTACAACTAGGCTGTGATATCTGCACTTCTCAGACCAGCACAGCCAGTTTTTACAAACTTGTTTGTCATCTTTTACATGCTTGTAACATTCTTTGTCCCCGCAAAGGGGGCCCTGGAAACCACAAGAGGAGATCGTCGATTCAGCAGTGATTAATAGTAAATATTAAAATAGATTGGAGGGACGTGATTATCCATGTCACATAGCCTTGGCTAGAAGTGGATAAAGAGAACTATTATTAACTTTTAGAGTGGTAAGCAAAAAGTGGCAGGCCAAGCGTTTGCGAGCACTGGACTCTCATATTCAGGAAACCCCTGTTGAAATACTCGCTAAAGTGATAGACTCTTTTCTATCAACGGCAAAAATAAAATCCTAAGCTGTACAATTTGTGGCATCTGCACTAACCATGCATCCCTAAGTGCTCAGGCTTTAGGCTTCCCCCATACCTTCCTACAAAGTGGTAAATGCAGGAAAAGAGTTTGATGTTTAGAGGTAAACCAGCAGATGAATCCATGTAAACCGGTCAGCACACCATTACATCATTAGTTGTCCCCAGCAGGATATACTTTTAGAACTCCCTGTCCCATATGAACTGAAGTAAATGACTATTTTTTTTTAAAAGGCCTCCTTGTGCACAGGGAATATGGTGCTAGGTTCGATGTCTTGTGCTCATAAAGTCACTGTTTTAAAATGGCGGAGTGGTTAAGCATTTACATCCCACTCTCGAGGATTGTGAGTTCACAGAATGCCACTGGGCCTAGTAAAAAAAAAAAAGCCAATAGCATGCACATGCATAAGGCAGCAGTCAGAAGTACCAGCACAAACATATCACCACTTCTCTGTAGATAGAAGCTGCGCTTACAACAAATCAGCTGTTGCACACACACATTAATGCATAAGGCACCACAGGCTCTGTGGCAACAGGCTACTTGTCACTTTCCTAAACTTACACAACATTGGGTACAGTTAAAAAACATCAACCCTGCCTTCCCAAAACTATATACTGTCAGCTCAAATATTGGGGAAAAATGCAGTAGCCTACTGTGGCTAGAGGCGTATAACTTGCCAAGACTGAACAGTTACTCGGCCTATCCACCATATTGTACAGAGAGTTTTCGGATTCCATACTTCAGATAATGAATGTTTTGGAGATCCATGGAGGTTGTTGCTTGGAGTTTTCATACCGGGTGTGATGTTCTTGGCAAGCAAACAACGGGTGTGATATTCTTGGCAAGCAAACAACGGGTGTGATGTTCTTGGCAAGCAAACACCGGGTGTGATGTTCTTGGCAAGCAAACACCGGGTGTGATGTTCTTGGCAAGCAAACACCGGGTGTGATGTTCTTGGCAAGCAAACAACGGGTGTGATGTTCTTGGCAAGCAAACAACGGGTGTGATGTTCTTGGCAAGCAAACACCGGGTGTGATGTTCTTGGCAAGCAAACAACGGGTGTGATGTTCTTGGCAAGCACACAACGGGTGTGATGTTTCTTGGCAAGCAAACAACGGGTGTGATGTTCTTGGCAAGCAAACAACGGGTGTGATGTTCTTGGCAAGCAAACAACGGGTGTGATGTTCTTGGCAAGCAAACAACGGGTGTGATGTTCTTGGCAAGCAAACAACGGGTGTGGTTCTTGGCAAGCAAACAACGGGTGTGTGATGTTCAAGCAAACAACGGGTGTGATGTTCTTGGCAAGCAAACAACGGGTGTGATGTTCTTGGCAAGCAAACAACGGGTGTGATGTTCTTGGCAAGCAAACAGCGGGTGTGATGTTCTTGATGTTGTTCTTGGCAAGCAAACAACGGGTGTGATGTTCTTGGCAAGCAAACAACGGGTGTGATGTTCTTGGCAAGCAAACAACGGGTGTGATGTTCTTGGCAAGCAAACAACGGGTGTGATGTTCTTGGCAAGCAAACAACGGGTGTGATGTTCTTGGCAAGCAAACAACGGGTGTGATGTTCTTGGCAAGCAAACAACGGGTGTGATGTTCTTGGCAATCAAACAAACGGGTGTGATGTTCTTGGCAAGCAAACAACGGGTGTGTTCTTGGCAAGCAAACAACGGGTTGATGTTTCTTGGCAAGCAAACAACGGGTGTGATGTTCTTGGCAAGCAAACAACGGGTGTGATGTTCTTGGCAAGCAAACAACGGGTGTGATGTTCTTGGCAAGCAAACAATTGCTGTATGGGAAAAAAGGGTGCGGGGGGTGTGAGCCATAAGTGTTGACATCTAGTACAGTGAGTCTTTAATTTGTGAACACATTTCTTTTCATTCAAAGGGTCTTATTAGCATTCATTTACTTCCTGTCTCTTGCAGACTACACGCAGACAGACCACCAGCCAGTTGCGGCTATCTCAACCATCATGAGGCTGTCATTTGACGAGGACTACAGGCATGCCATTTGTACACTGGGAGGGCTTCAGGCAATCGCTGATCTTTTGGAGGTGGAGACCAGAGCGGCTACATCGTTAACTGAGAGCAGGTACCAGTTGTAATTGTAGTTGCTTTTTTTTTTTAAAGCCTGGTCCCGGTTGCTTTCTAACTGGTTCTCCACATTCTTGTAACATTTAGAACTTGTAACTGCTTTGTTTTTTCATATATCTGTAATTGTTCAGTGTTTCTCCACACACTTGATACTGCCAACCAAGAGGTTCTCCCTACACCTGGTCACTTTTCTCTCTACATGTGTCACTACTCTTCACTGTTTCTCCCTACATCTGTAACTGTTAACTTTCTCCCCACACTTCAGCCAGTTTCTCCCTACATCTGTCCTTTCTTCCTACATCTGTAACTGTCAGTTTTTTTTTGCTTACAACTATGATTGCCCACTGTTTCTCCTTACACTTGTTCAGGAAGGTAGAGAAGTTCCAGGCCCAAAGACACTGGTTGGTATCTCTGAGATGGTCAGGGTGGACAAAGATTCAGTTTCATTTCCACGCTAAGGCATGTAGTTGTGCAAGGAAATGAGCAGGCTGAATGGCTTGCTGGCACAGCTATCATGGAGGCCTGATGAACCATGAACCAGGCTGATATACTGAATGCTGTACAAAAAGGAAAATGTTAGCTTATGACTGTGAATTTGCAGCCATAATGAGACAACAATAACAGCAAGTGATAAGGGATGTGGCTAGACAAGAGCACTAAGGAAGCTAAAGAAAATTAATAAACCAGCACAGAACTATTGGCCTGAGCCACTACACTGTGAGACTTACTGAGAAGGGGATCGGAGCATTTATGGACTGAATGGTTTGATGTGCATTTAGGAGGATCTGTCGACTAATTGAATCCCTATTGTAACAACTGTTTTGTTTTTTTCTAAATATGCTTATTACTGACATACTTTCTCCCTGCATGTGTGATAACAATCCCCCACCACCACACCCCTTTTTCCCCTACAACTACACTTATCCATATTTTCTTCTGACACTTTTCACCAGTTTTTTGTGGGTTTTACAGTGTACATTCCTTCAACAGCATTGCTATCCGCAAGTCAGGGGATGGCGGGCTTTGTTACAGAACAATGCAGTGACAGCTAGCAGGGTGGCATGGGGCGTGAAGGAGCAGCTGCCTCCTTTCTCGCGTGTGTGTGGTGTGTGCCATCTTGCATGGCCCTGACAAACCTCACCTTTGGTGATGGCAAGAACAAGGCATTGCTGTGTTCCATGTATAGCGCCATGGAGGCCCTCACCTATCAGGTAGCGTCCAGCTGCGAGGATCTGATACAGCCGTCTGCAAGTGTCCTGAGGAACCTCAGCTGGCGGGCCGATTTGGCCAGCAAGAGAGCTTTAAGAGAGGTGGGCATCACTGTATCAATATCTACTTTTTTTTTTAGCCAGTATCTGCTTAGAATCTTTGTTTGAATAAGTATCTACTTTAATCATTGTTTGAATCAGTATCTACTCTAATCATTGTTTGAGTCAGCATATACTTTAATCATTGTTTGAATCAGTATATACTTTAATCATTGTTTGAATTCTTATCCACTCTAATCATTATTTGAATCAGTATCTGATTGAAATTATTGTTTCAGTCAGTATCTACTTACCTTTAATCAGTGTTTGAATCTGTATCTACTGTAATCATTGTTCCAGTCAGTATATACTTTAATCATTGTTTGAATCAGTATATACTTTAATCATTGTTTAAATCAGTATCTACTTTAATCATTGTTTGAATCAGTATCTGCTTGAAATTATTGTTTCAGTCAGTATCTACTTAACTTTAATCAGTGTTTGAATCAGTATCTACTGTAATCATTGTTGGAATCTATATCTACTCTAATCATTGTTTAAATCAGTGTCTGCTTTAATCATTGTTTAAATCAGTATCTACTCTAATCATTGTTTTTGAATCAGTATATGTTTTAATCATTGTTTGAATCAGTGTCAACTTTAATCATTGTTTGAATCATTATTTGCTTGGAATTATTGTTTGAATCAGTGTCTACTTTATTTGAATCAGTATCTACTTGGCATTATTGTTCGAATCAGTATCTATTTTATTTTATTCACTACATGCTTGGAATCATTGTTTGAATCAGTATCAACTTCATAATCATCATTTGAATCAATGTCTGCCTTGTTTTATCAGTATTTTTATGTAATCACTCTATTAGTATCTGCATTGTTTGTTGTTTGTATCAGTGTAAACAAAATAAAATAAAGATGAATCCTTTCACCACAAATCACATAGTTTATTGCTTCACGGTACAGCTCACTACTTTGAGGGATTCATTTTTGTGCTTCATTTTATGTTGATGTACACTCTATGGTATACAGACATTCATGGTGAAGTAAGCACTACAGCAGTTTTCAGACCATCAAAAGAAGCCCTGTTCTTTGAATGTTTTGGTCCCTTTACCTTCCTTACACTCTCAAGGGCAGGCCATTGCAGGTTTCCAGGTTACAACTCCTGGATTTCATTCTCCTGTTGTACAGTAAAATCTTGCCACTAATTAAAAAATATACGGGTTTACCGCTGAATACACACGCCTGGCTAGTTTGTCACTAAGATTACTTCCTTTGGAGCCATCCTGCACTGAGGGAGGTGATACATTAAAATATACCATAAAGTAAACTGTGAAGATATTGTTTGTTCCCTCATTTTTTGAATTTCTTCTATGTAGCTAAGTTTGTAATTGTATTTTCTCAGATCGGAGCAGTGTCGACTTTGATGAAGGCGGCCATGAGAGTCAAGAAGGAGACAACTCTGAAAAGCATCCTGTCAGCATTATGGAATCTTTCTTCCCACTGCTCAGAAAATAAGGCAGAAATCTGCGCAGTTGAAGGTTCCCTTCAGTTTTTGGTTAACCTTCTGACATACAAAAGCATCAGTAAGACACTCAGCATTGTGGAGAACGGCGGCGGCATTCTGCGGAATGTCTCTAGCCACGTTGCTGTCAGGGAAGAATATAGACAGATTCTGAGAAATCATGATTGTCTTAAGATCCTTCTGCACCATCTGAAGTCCCCAAGTTTGACAGTTGTTGGTAATGCTTGTGGGACGCTGTGGAACCTGTCAGCTAGGTGTGAAGAGGATCAGAATGCCTTACGAGAAATGGGAGCTGTTAGCATGCTAAGAAATTTAGTTCACTCTCGGCACAAGATGATTTCCAGTGGTAGTTCAGCTGCTCTTCGGAATCTGCTGTTGTCAATCCCTGCTGGAAAGTCCCTGGGTAATGAGAAAGCTGTAGGATCATCTCATCTAAGTTTGCATGTCCGGAAGCAGCTGGCCATGGAGACGGAGTTAGATTCTAACCTTTCGGAGACATGTGATAACATTGAAAGTCCTAGAAGTTCTCCTACAGGCATTGTCCATCGGTCAGAGAGTGAGCCTAGGAGGTTTGTTTATCACCTTAATGGGGGTGGAGATGGAAGTGGTGGAGGAGATAATGCTCTGAGGAAGGAGGAAGATAGCAGGAAGCTGACACGTCGGCAGATGATGTCAAGGAGTGGGAATGAGAGTGTGAGTAATCCAGTGGTAACTTCTTGTAGTCAGGTTGTGAGGACAGGCAGTCAAGACAGTGTGGGCAGCACTCATTCTGACATCTCTCATGACCGAAACAGAGCCCATACCATGCTAGCAAAATCTTCTCTACTTCTCAATAAACGCCAGGGCAGCAGTCTGGAAAGAAAGGAACAGCCACCCCCAGTACATAATGGCACTCCTCGGCCTAATATCCCCAACCCCCAAAGCATAATAACAGACCATAAAACACATATGAATTTTAGTTCGCTTGGTAACAGCAGTGGCTACACTTCAACTGGAAGCTGTGGCACAACAGTGGTTAACAACGTCCCTGCCCACGTGCGGCAGATTCATCCCCTGGGCATCCACCAGCCGCAGTACCAGACTATGCCCAACAGTCGCATTGTCAAGTACATGCATGAAGTAGCCATGTACGCGGGTGTTGAGCCGAACAGAAGCTTTGATAGCCACCCATCACTTGTCCAATCAGCTCCGAGCCATTCTCAGCCATTTCATCTTTCAGGTTTTTCCAGCAACCAACTCCAGCAACAGCATTTAGCCATGTCTTCATCATCATCTGGCCTTAGCAACCTGAATGGCAGCCTTTCTATGGCTAATTCTGCAGGCTGCAGCTCTGACTTTGATAACCATCACTCAGTCAACAGCAGCACTGTGGAAGAGGATACAGATCAGCCTGTAAACTACAGCCTAAAGTACCAGGATGTCTGTAGTGGCGATAGAGCTAAGAAGACCTCCTCTAGTGACCCTATGCTCATGCCTTATAGCTACCTAGCTTCCAGTGTTGGTGGTTTGAACTTCAGATCCGGGATGGCACCAGAAAACTTGAGGCCTCAGACGGTGAAAGATTGTAATTATTTGTTGAATAATTCAGTTTATGATAAACTAACGAGCAATGTTTCTGGGGGAAGCGGCTTGCTTGGATCATCGAATACAACTTCTCATCGTCCAGTTCCGAACCTGGTTCATAATCGCTTTCACACCCCACATGGCTATCAGTCTGCTGTAGTGCCACATCATCACCACCATCCTCCTCGGTTCATGGCACCACAGACACCATACAACAACACCTCATTTCACCCTCGAGGGTATCCGGTATCCTTCTGGTCAGTCTACTCATCCTCGCTCAAATCTTCCATCAAATGTTGCCGTAAATAGCTCTGGGTATTCTTCCAAGGGCAAGATGTTTAACAGTGGTGCTAATCAGGTCAGTACTGTGCAGGCAGCCCACCAAAGTCCTACTCACCCTCGCCCAGTTAAACAGTTTAACAGTGCTTACGCCGAAACTGACCTTGATATAGTTGTTGACCAACCAACGAATTTCAGTCTTCGCTACAATGAGGTCTTGGAAGACAACTGCAGTGAAGACTACCAAGAGCAACCGATAAATTACTCCGTACATTTCCGTGATGATGGAGAGAGGGAAGGCCAGGATATGGGGGTTTATCGAGACAAAAGACATTGTGTTGAGTGCAAGTATGTCGAGGCCAGGCGGACAAATGACATTAGTTCCAATGATGATCAGGTTCGTACTTTTTGCACTGAAGGCACCCCATATCTTTCAACAGCTACTTCTCTCACAGACTTGACCCAGGCAGGGAAGAGCGAAAGAGAAGAGGAAGCAGTTTATTCAAAGCAGATGAAATTGACGACTGAAATGGACCGAACTGGATCTAGGACAGACATGATGGCCGCTGCTAGCAGTTCCGGAAGTCACACAACGGACAGACAGACTGGCTCTACTGTCATCGGTTCAGTTAGAGGACAAAATCAAAGTAAGTACTTGGTGTGAATTTTACATTTTTTTTTAAATAAAGATTTTGTCTGCGGCTTAAACATTGCAAACTTGTTTGTAATTCTGAAGTTCCTTGGTTGATTCCAACTGTGAGCAATCTCGCAGCAGACTGTCTTGAGTTGGTTTCGACAGCAGTATTAAAAAGCATATCAAAATTTTGAACATAAAATTATCTAAGAAATTAGAAACAGCCAAGAAATGCTGGGGTTGGTTGTGCAACATCCTACAAAGCAGGCTTGTCAAACAAGTGGCCCGGGCCGCATGCGGCACTTTGCAGTGATACCGACGTCCAGCGCAAAGAAAGTATTCCCAATAATTGTTATTCAATGATTCCAATTAGTTGTCATGTGTGATCCTCATATTGATGACATGTGACGCGTATGACACTCAGGGTTTCACAGTGTGACAAGCCAGCTGTAAAGGATACGTAACTAACCTTTAGTCACTTTGAATTATTTTTTATATTTTTTTAAAGAATTTTTCAGGTGCATTCAGTTTGTTTTGTGGTCAGATTTAGAGGTTTATATATATATATATATATAAACATTTTTCATGCACACGTATGCGTGCGTGCATGCATGCATGAATGTATGTGTGTTTTCTAAGTAGTTTTTATATTCTTACAATTTCCGTCACTTTAAGTGGGTTTTTAATATTTTACCATTTAACTTTTATTGAATTGAAACTTTTGAAACATTTCAAACCATTTCCGTCACTTCTAACATTTTTTTTTAATATTTTGTCGGCGCTGCAGCCTCTTCAACCTTCTCTTTTCAGTTTTCAACTGCAGAGGGTTTTTTGTTTTAGCATACACAGGTCTTTTTAGATTTTGCTTGTCTGAGAAGGCTAGATTTCTGATTCATTGACCCAGGATCAGAAGGCATTATCCCCGTGTAGGGTCCGAAAAAAAGAAAGAATAGATCCTCCGCTCCGTAAAAAGCATGTTATAGGAGTCGACTAATTAAGGACCCTTAATGTACATTCAGACATATATACACATACACACTCACACATTCATACATACATTTACATGTTCAGGCATGTATAGGTGATGTGTACGTACTCTTGAATACTTACACAATCATATATACACAATCATACACACTCAGACATACAAACACATACTCACACACACACACTCTCTCTCTCTCTTTCATATAGACACTCTCTCTTACACACACACACACACACACACACACACACACATATAAATGCATTAAGCACACACACACCCACACATGGTTTTACGCACACATACTCTCTTCTCTTTTACACACACTCACATACACTCACTCACTCACAAAAACACATTCACTCACTCACTCACTCACTCACTCACTCACTCACTCACTCACTCACTCACTCACACACACACTGTACTCCTGTAGTGAATAAATGAATGAATCAAGAAATGACACCATTGCACTTGGGACATTCCTACATGTGCCCTGTCTCCCTTCTTCAGTAGCCAGTGACGAGTCGACATGCTAATAGTACTGGTTGCAACCTGATTTCAAAGCCTGCCTCTGTTTCCGCTTCAGTGTTGAATATCTGCCAGAACCTCTACTCACCCCCACAGTTGAATTAGTCTTTCAGTGTATGGATTCCTTATCTGTTCTTTTGCACTGTCCAATTGATTCCATAGAGCCTTCACCATGTCCACTTTATCATAAAGTGCTCCTGTAGTGTATGTATGAAATCATGGGCATGTCTCTTGTTCCAGTTGCAGTGACCTCCAATGGAAATTCCCAACTGACAGATGACCACATGGTCCAGCAAAACTTCCATGCTGATTCCAATGAAGGTAACTTCAAGAATGTATCTTGATGTGTGTGTGTTCATCTGTCTGTCTGTCAGTCTGTCTACATATTTTCAAATCACTTAAACAAAAAAAAGTTGAGGTCTCATTTAGAAACTAATCTTGGCTTCTTTACACGATGATCTTTAGTGAGAAGCCGAGATTAGTTTATAGACAAGATTGCAACCTTAAGGACATACTTGTCGGAAGCCAGCTCCCGCCAGTCCACACAGTACTTCCTGTTGGGACTACTGAATGCTCCCGCGCTACGTGCAAGACATTTCCTTTCATTATCCAGACCTCTTCGGCCAGTTTCCCTAATGGTTCTTTCCAAATTAGGGAACCTTTTACTTGGGAATCCCGCAACATAATTTATGCCATAATCTGCAAAAGATGCAACAAGGCATACATTGAGGAAACTGGCAGGAAGCTAGCTGATTGTTTCCGGGAACACCTCTCCAACATTGACAAGAAGACAATTAAACCTATCTCTCTCCATTATTAACAGCTCTTACCACAGAGCTAAAGATGATATATCTGCCACAGCATTAAAATCTTGCTCTGACGATCATACCACGCGCCCCGCTTTGGAAAATCGCCTCATCCACAGCCTAGGTGTTCATAGTCCAGGTGGCATAAATGTCCAACATACCTTCATCTAAACAGTTTTACTATTATCACATTTTCAAATTTTAATTATTCAATTTTATTTTGTTTTATTTCATATTATTACTTTATTCTATCTCTTATCAGTACCATTTATGTATCATTAACATTTGTATTTATTTTACTCTTTTATTCCTACTATTATATCATATATTAACAATAGTACTTTTGATTTCTTACGACCATTTTTTGAGCCTTCGTTTATTTTATTTCATTCACTGCACATCACGTCCCCCCTTGAGATCCTAATACTCTCCTCTTTGTTACCGTTGTGTAGTTCGTTACTTGTTCGAGAAAAGCCACCGGCCGAAACGTTTCGTGTTGTTTTGTGCATGTTTTTCTGCTTCCACGTTTCGTTAGGCTTTTTGGTTACATTTTACTGGAATTTCTTCTTCTTCTTCTTCTTCTTCTTCTTCTTCTTCTTCTTCTTCTTTCGTTCACTTGAAATAGATTATCTATATATGCAATGTTGTCTGTCTCTAGTATGAACTTCACTAGAATTCCAGTATAGCCCATGTATTTATAGTCCCACAACCTATGTATTTACTTATGCCTCACAAAATGCATTTATTCAATCATGTCCCAGGTGCCTTAGACCAGACAAAAACATACTGCGAGGAAGGTACACCCGTCTGCTTCTCTCGAGTATCCTCCCTCAGCAGCCTGCACTGTACGGAGCCTAGAGAGGGAAGCGGGAACACAAAACACAGCAACATCACTGACAAGGTATTCTGTTCTTTTGTGTGTTAAATGGATGTTGTTTGATTGTTCAAACTCAAGCAGAGTCAACAGAAAGCAACATACCACGATTTTCCGTCTACGAACAGGAAACTGCAGGCTCAACTACCACATGCATAGAATAAAGACTGTACATTCCTCACAGTGTGCCTGTCAAACAGGACCACAAACACCTGAGCAAATTCTGCAGACCTGCCCAGTGTGGGGGAAAACAAGAACAGACCCCCTGGTTCCCCAATAAGCATATTGCCTGAGTCATCTAACTGGGGGCACCCTTCAGAATCGGAGCACACACAGCACCAAGAGTGCATACAAATAAGCCAGATGTGAGAAACAGATGTGCACATAACACTCAGGTTCTGGAACAAGACTAAAGTCGGGGGGTGGACACTCAGAACTTTTCACTGGAGTGTACAGCTGGTGAACATAAAAGAGGACAAATATTTTATGATGAAACTGCAGCATGGGGAAAGATTCCCTTCTGGCCTGTGACAATCCCCGTGTTCAACATTTTGACCTCTGAATAAACTCATACATCATTTAAAAAAAAACACAAAAAAACAACTTTCAAGTATGTAAATTATTTATGGTGGCATGTGTGTGTATATAAATCTTCATTCACTTGCTAACTGTGTCTACAGGTTGAATTGACCTGTATTGATGAAACTGATGCCCCTGAGGCCCTGATGAGGTCGGTCATGGAAAATAAGAGAGCTGCCTGTGCAATGTCCAAGTCTGCCTCAAATCTGCGACGCACAAACCCTGAGCAGGTTTTAAAGGGAGACCGTGAGTGCAAGACTGTCACCTTTGATGAGAACCAACAGGTAAGTACTGTATTATAGAGAAAGATGATAATCAAAATATACCAACCATGAAGGACTGTATTACAGAGAAAGATAACAATCAAAATATACCAACTATAAAGGACTGTGTTACAGAAAAAGATAACGAATCAAAATATACCAACCATGAAGGACTGTATTACAGAGAAAGATAACAATCAAAATATACCAACCATGAAGGACTGTATTACAGAGAAAGATAACAATCAAAATATACCAACTATAAAGGACTGTGTTACAGAGAAAGATAACAATCAAAATATACCAACTATAAAGGACTGTGTTACAGAGAAAGATAACAATCAAAATATACCAACCATGAAGGACTGTATTACAGAGAAAGATAACAATCAAAATATACCAACTATAAAGGACTGTGTTACAGAGAAAGATAACAATCAAAATATACCAACTATAAAGGACTGTGTTACAGAGAAAGATAACAATCAAAATATACCATGTGGTTACAGAGAAAGATAACAATCAAAATATAAGAAGGACTGTATTACAGAGAAAAGATAACAATCAAAATACCAACATGAGAATTACAGAGAAAGATAACAATCAAAATATACCAACTCTGTGTTAAAAAGATAACAATCCCAACCATGAAGGACTGTGTGTTACAGAGAAAGAAAACAATCAAAATATACCCAACTATAAAGGACTGTGTTACAGAGAAAGATAACAATCAAAAATATACCAAGAGAAAGATAACCAAAATATACCAACCATGAAGGACTGTGTTACAGAGAAAGATAACAATCAAAATATACCAACCATGAAGGACTGTATTACAGAGAAAGATAACAATCAAAATATACCAACCATGAAGGACTGTATTACAGAGAAAGATAACAATCAAAATATACCAACTATAAAGGACTGTGTTACAGAGAAAGATAACAATCAAAATATACCAACCATGAAGGACTGTGTTACAAGAAAGATAACAATCAAAATATACCTATAAAGGACTGTGTTACAGAGAAAGATAACAATCAAAATATAACCAACTATAAAGGACTGTGTTACAGAGAAAGATAACAATCAAAAATATACCAACCATGAAGGACTGTGTTACAGAGAAAAGATAACAATCAAAAATAACCAAACATGAAGGACTGTATTACAGAGAAAGATAACAATCAAAATATACCAACCATGAAGGACTGTATTACAGAGAAAGATAACAATCAAAATATACCAACCATGAAGGACTGTATTACAGAGAAAGATAACAATCAAAATATACCAACTATAAAGGACTGTGTTACAGAGAAAGATAACAATCAAAATTTACCAACTATAAAGGACTGTGTTACAGAGAAAAATAACAATCAAAATATACCAACTATAAAGGGCTGTGTTACAGAGAAAGATAACAATCAAAATACACCAACCATGAAGGATTGTATTACAGAGAAAGATATATAAATAAAAATATACTAACCATCAAGTATTAAAGAGAAGAATATACCAATGGTCAACGATTTTATTAACTCTTTCATGACCACATTTTTTTCTGGGGTTTGGACAGCATTAATCTTGAGCGAAATATTTTTACTGCAACATGACAAAGCTAAAACCTTCCTGAAGAAAATGTATTGGCTGTATCAGGACATATAATGTATCAAATTAAAGATGAGTGCAGAATAAATGTAAACTTTTTAAATGTCAGTATAACAACAAAATATTAAAATCACACAACATTCAAGGATGTAAGACACATATGTAAATTATTGACATAAAAAAGTGTGCTTACCTTATTTTTTTACTTGTTCAACAACACTGCTGTCCAATTCTAAGAATTCACATGCCTTCTCTGTTCAGTTATATATCAGCTAGTCTTTATTTGAAACAATTAATTTAAATACTTCGGATGTTATGATCATTTTTGTATGACACATCAAATTTCACAACAACCAAAAATCGGGAAAACAGCTGATTAAAACATTGCTCTGATTATGAAGTTTTCATATCCTAAACTAAATTTTTGCCAGCAGATTTGTCGCTTAGATATCAATCATAATATCAAGACTGTGGTCACCATCTGGCAGAGATTCATCAACAATAGAGCATTATAAACAGTTCTAGACCTTTTCCGTTATCATTTAGTATAGAAAAATCACGTGAAAATTGAATCCCATCTATTTTTTTTTAAATCAGAAAAAAAAAAAATGCACCGACCATGATGAACGTCGCAAACAAAAGGACTTCCTGTTGTAAATCCTAATTGTTTAACTACGTGTTCATAAAAGTTTGTTATTCCTACAAACAGAACACAATTAGAGTGTCTCTATCATGATCCAGTGCACTGGCGATACGTCTTTGAGGGATAGACTTAAACGCCAGTATACTGGCTACACGTCCGTAAAGAGTTAACAAGACGAATTGAATTAATGAAAATGGTTTGAAGTTTGAACAACAGATCTATTTGGTAGTAACTCATAAGTGCTCCATTCTTCTTCTAACTCAAGTCTGAGTCGGAAGAAGCTCAGCACACTGCACAGGCTCTGTGGCACTGGGGAGGATCCTGAAATACTTTGGGTAGATTTTTAACTCCAATTTTCGCTTAGTCCAAGTCCATGTGAAAAAATCCCAGCCCTTACCGGGGATTGAACCCGGAACCTCTAGCACTTGAGGTGGACACCATGCCTCGAGACCATGCACCCTCCTTTAATGAGAATAATCTCAAAATATACAAGTGCTCAAAGATTACATTAAAGAGAAGAATAACATGCACTCAAAATATTCCCTGAATCAAAGATTATCATCATCAGGTGCCTTGCCGACTGGCATGGGCTATCATGCCTCTCCATAATCCGCGATCTCCTGCAGCATGTATCAGTTCGTGTGCCGACACACCTCCATGCCATGCAACAAGACTGTCAAGCATCTTCTCTCGTTGTCTTCCTCTATCCCTCCTTCCACAGATCTTTCCAGTGGTCACAACATGTTCTATTTTCCCTCTTCTCATAACATGGCCGAAAAATGATGACTGTCTCCTTCTGATGTCAGTGATAAGTTTTCTTCGGGCTCCCACCTCTTTTAAAACCTCTTGGTTGCTCTTTTTGGCTGTCCAAGGTATTCTAAGCATTCTTCTGTAAAACCACATCTCTGAGGCCTCTAAAAAATTGTTTGGCCTGCCTACCGATTGTCCAGGATTCACATCCATATGTTAAAACTGGATGTATGTAGCAAGCAAGAATTCTTTTTCTAACTCTCAATGACAAGGATATATTGCACAAGATGTTTCTCATTTTATAAAATGCAGTTTTTGCCTGTCCAATTCTGTTTCTTATTTCAGTTATGCATCTTCCATCTGATGTTATCCATGTGCCCAGATACTTAAATTTCTGTACTTGTCTTAAAATAACACCATTGACTTTTATTACACATTTAGGAATAATTTGTTTCTTTGATACCACCATTACTTCTGTCAAAGATTATATTAAACAGAAAAATAACGGTCTAAGTATACCAGTGCTGGAAGATTCATAAAAGAAAAGAATCGTCGTCGTCATCATCGCTATCATCATCAATTTCCACTTCTGTCGTTAAGCGTTGTGGGGAGGAATAGTTTGTGATCCATTGCTTGATGGGCTGCATTGGCTATTATCATTCCCTCTTGATGTAGAAACTCTTTAATGTCAATCCATTTTTTCCTAGGGCAGCCTCTTGCTTTCACTTTAGATCCTTTCATGTGTAGCGCCTGCGTTGGTAGTTGTTCTGGCTGCATTCTTACTTAATGGCCAAACCATTTGATCTTCTGTTTCTAATTGAATTCTTTACAGTCTGAAAATATCATATCTAATTTTGTCTCAGATGGTTAAGTTTGCAGCTTTTCTCAGGCATCTCATTTCACGTGTTAATTTTACATAGGTAAATCTTTAATAATGTCCAAGTCTGGCACTGATAGCACAGTGTTGGTATGAAGATACTGTTTATAATATGCTTTTTGGTGCTCATACTAATGTTTGATTTTCGTAATAGCGGTGAATAAAGAGAAGAATAACAGTCAAAATATACCAATCATCAGTGATTGTATTCAAGAAAACAGTAGCAGTCAAAATATACCAGTGATCAAAGATGGGATTAAAAAAAACAGTAACAGTCAGAATGTACTAACGATCGAAGATTGCATTAAATGAAAAGAATAACAATTCATCATGTAAATTATACTTTGACAGGTGGAAGAAACACCCCTGATGTTCAGCAGATGCAGCTCACCAGAATCCCTCAGCAGCTTCGATACACAATCAGTTCACAGCTCTGTCGTGAGTGAGTACAGCAGGAGGGCCAGTGAGGTTGTTTCTCCTAGTGAGATTCCCGACTCCCCCTCAGAGTCCATGCCACCAAGCCCCAGGCAGACCCATTCCCCGACCAGGCGCTTCAAAGATTTTCCAACGACTCCTAAATCCACAAATGTTGTTGCCAAACAGTCCTTGAATTTCGAGAAGACCCCAATTACCGTCAAGACAGAAACATTTGGAAATTTCCCAGCTTATGATGAAGAGGACAAGCCTGTTAATTTTGCAATGAGAAATGCAGAAATACCTGTGGAGAATGCATTTTCCGAATTTGATGATGATCGACCTATCGACTTTTCATCGGTAGAAAGGGAGCATGAAGAGTCTCATGCATTTGACATGTTTCAGAAGAACAGCCTGCCAGCAAATATAAACCAGAGCGCACACCTGATAAACAGAATCATGACACCACGCACCAAGATCACCAGCAAATTTGAAGAACAAAATATGGAAACTGAATCTTCATCGGGGAAATCTGAAGTGCCTGTAGTTTATGCCGATGAAGGGACGCCGCCAAATTTCTCAGAAACCACGAGTTTAAGTGGAATCACAGTGGCTTCATCATCCACTAGAGGAGGCACGTCGAAATATGCAAATATTCAGCACCAGCCACAGGAGCCAGATCTTCCGAAGGTAGAGGAGAAAGAGGCTGGTTCAGAACTTGTTAATAGACATGAAGCACCTGCAGTTTTCTCGGTGGGTAAAGAAAATAATGCTGCGAAAAGTATGGGTCGGCATGAAGACAGGGACTCTTCAATGTCTGATGTTTCTGAAGGAGAGGAGGACATTCTTGCTCAGTGTATCAGTTCAGGAATGCCCACTCCAGTATCTTCCGCTCGTAAAATCAGACGTAGCTCATCAGACAACACCACAAAGAAAAAGTCAGGAATTCCATTGAAAACAAGCCCAGATGCACCTGTTAAGAATCCAACAAAGATGCCTTCAATCTTGAAGTCTACACCCAAGAAGCCTACACCTTCAGGTAAATCACTACCAAACCAGGCTAAAAATGATAACAGTTCTGTAGACAATGAAGACCTTCTCCTGTCACAGATGATAGAGTCAGGAATGCCCAAAGGCAGAGCTGGAAGGAAGTTGCCTGCTGAGCATAATGCAACTGTTAGTGATAAAGGGAAACAGAATGGCCGAGGTGCCAGCACCACAGTGACTGTTCCTAGATCCTCTAATATTACCATCGTGGCCCCCTTCCATGACTTCGTTCCAACAGACTCTGTGAGGACTTATGATGTTGAAGGCACGCCAAGGAATTTCTCCACAGCCACATCTCTCAGCGATCTGACTGTTGACTCTGAAGGTTCTAAATGTGGTTTAGCTGGGCTTATCACTCCTCCTAAATCTGGCAAAGGCTATGACAGTAACGTCAGAACCAAGCAGAGTTCCAGCAAACTACGCATGCCAGCCAACAAGTCTTCGCCAAAGGGGCGGTCCGGCAATAAGCAGTCAGCTCCTCAACAGATGCCTCAGGACAACAAAAGAATTTTTGGAGACTCTTCTACCAATGAAGGACCAGAATATGTGACCTTCTCACCACCTTCTAATGACACCTTGCATACATACAACCTGGAAGGAACCCCCACCATATTTTCCAGGAATGATTCTCTCAGTTCCCTTGGAGGAAAGGACAGCAGGGGCACTGGTAGTGGTATCAGTGCCAGTCCACATAAAGATCATAGATTTGCTGATGAAAGTGATAACAGCTCCTGCTCACTTCCCAAGGAGAGGCATGTCGTTGGGCAGTCAAGTGAAGACAGCAGTGTGGCTGGGGACAGAGCTGAAAGACCAATCAAGTTCGGGGTTGAGGATACCCCTGTGTGCTTCTCCAGAAACTCCTCTCTTAGCTCCCTGAACAGCATTGACAAAATAGAACCAGCAGATACAAAACCCTTCAGCAGAGGTGTTTGTAAAGATTCAGCAGAAGCTACAGCTAATTGTGTTAACCCAGACAGAAAGCACCATCATGAGTCTTCTGGTTCCCTCAGTGATGAAATGGCAGATTGTGATCCTACCCCATCAGAGCAAGCACTGCTGGAACAGTGTATTAACTCAGCTATGCCCAAGTCAAGAGTACCCAAAGGTGACGACAAGACTCGCAGGTACTCAAAAACTAAAATCCTTAACCAGCAGGCAGCAGTTGTTGGAAAGTCTAACATGGGTTCAGAGGTTGGGTTTAGCAATACCAATGGCTATCACAGCAGCAGTGAGGTGGATTCTGGTTTGCAAAGATCTTTATCTCATCGCCAGAGTGGCCAGGACAATTTAATGACTCGTAGCTGCTCAGACACTACAGCCCTTGACCTTCACTTTCAAACGCCATGTTCTTCGGCAAGGAAATCAAGGTACAGCGATTGGCAGAAGCAGCGGCACCGTTCGGAGGAGTCAGCAGAACAGAATGTTAGTGAAGTGTGTTATGATGTGAGTGACTCAGTCAGTGAAGCTATGCTACTTGAGGAGACTGATGGACTTGTGCCTGGAAGTGGGAAGTTGATGACGTTGAAAGCTCAGGCAAGCCAGATGGGTGGCAGCACAGTTGATGAAGATCTGTTTATTGAAAACGAGACTGCTTCATTAGTTTCTAACGACAATTTTTCTGACACAAACTCCGAGTTTTCCGTACCCTGGTCTGTATCTTCCGACAAGAGTTCAGAACTTTCAGTAGGAGCAACTGGAGGTCAAAGAGAGACTTCACTTTCTAATAAAGTAGGATCTGCAAGAATTGTGAAACCTACAACTGCCCAGCAATCTGCTAAAGTTCCTGTAACAAATGAAGAAGAAGCAAAAGTTATAAGGGGGCACAGAAAACCTCTATATCATCACAAAGCCAATAATGCAGGAGGTATTATCAAGGGGGGTCAACAGATATCCTTATTGCCAGGAAATAAGGGATCAACACCAGTTGGAGTTGGCAAGAATAAAACAGGTCTGCCAGCACAGGGTCTGAAGAAAACACCACCAAAACCCCAAAATGGTGGCCGGGCCTCACCCAAAACTGCTTCTCAGGATGGCAGCTCAAAAACCTCGCAGAAAGATCCAGAAGTGAGGTCAAGATCTGCTGGAACATCCACACTGTCTGGAAAGGCATCCTCAGGTGGTGATGACATTGAATCTAAGGGTGCAGAACAGCGGAACCAGCCAGGCGTCACCAACAGGTGTGTCGGCAAGGTAGCAAGCAAGGCAGGAAATAAATCCATTGCTGCAACAGGGGCTTGTATGTCTTCTTCTCACTCAGGACCATCTGTTGGGTCCAGCACATCCCCAGGTCTGCCAAATCTTGTAGGCACCACCAAATCTCCAGCTCACTCCAGACTTCCTACTGCTAGCCCAGCCAGCAAGGGAAACTCTAGCGTCAACAGATGCAACAGACAGGAAAGCAACACCAGCCGATCCTCCAGCGGTGGTACTGTAAATAGCACATCCAGTGAGAAAAAGCCAGGGCAGAGTATCTCAAAAGTTGCAGATGAAGCAGTTGCAGCTTCCAGCAGAGGATCCAGCATTCCTACTAGGAGATGCAATGGTTCTTCATCTTCATTGAGTAGCATAGACAACAGCAAAAACACCCAGCAAGGCAATGCTGACTCTAACAAGCATGTCTCACCTGCATCTTCTGGCAAAAAACAGACCAGAAAGATAGCAACTCTGAGAAGAGGGGATGACAGTTTTGACAGGTCACCCTCTAGGGACAGCCCCTTGTCATCTACTTCCTCCTCATCTTCCAGACTTCCCATCTCCTTGACAAAAGTTTCCCCGGCTAGTCCCAAACCTAGCAGTCTTCCACCATCTGGCTTCAAGACTAAAGCGGCCACTCTTCCCAACACCAGTTCGGTCTCATCCAGATCAGTGGGTGATAGAATCTGCAAGAGCTCTACGTATGAGAAAATTGCCTCAGATATGGTCACTCAGGACGTTCCTTGCAGTATGCAACCAACAAATTCTATACCAAAAATTATGCAGCTAAGTGCACATCTGAAGCAGACTTGTGGCAGTGTAGAGTCCCCTGAGTCGGGCGTCAGACGAGGAGAAGTATTTGAACTCTGCGATGATGATGATGATGATGAAGAAGATAACTGTGACACTAATATTAGTGAAAGTATGACTCACTCAGACTCAATAACTGTGTCAAATTCATCACAAAATCCGAATGAAAATTCACAGCACAACGTGTTTGAAGATTTCTCTTCCACTTCTCAAGATAATTCACAGATGGATACTAGCAGTTACACGGATACCAACACTTCCAGAAAAAATAAGCCAAAACTACAGGCTTTTGATCTGCATTTGCCGGATGCAGATGAGACTTGTTGTTCCATGTACTCCTTCAATGATTCCGTTGGATCGCCGCAGAACGAAAACAGTTTAGTGGAGAACCACAAAGATGTAATTAGTGATAATACTTTAAGTGAGGTCAGTATATCTGAGATTCTGCAAAATGGTACTGACTGTTTAAAAATTGAAGGAAAAAATAAGCATGGTGAGGAGAAAACTGGAGGAAAGGCAAAGTCGATTGTTGCACAAGGGTTGAAAAGGTTGTTTTCTGGCAGGCACAAAGAGAAGGAGAAAGACCCAAAATCCAAAAGTACAGAGAAAAATAGCATTAAGTCTAAAAGCCACGAAAAGGAATCAAAATCAAAACATTCAAAATCGGAAATTAAAGACAAGAAAAATGGAAAAGATAAGAAGGACAATGAAATTTTGCAGTCTAACATGAGAATCGAACCTCAGCTTGCCGTACCTAATGATGAAAGGCTTCTTTTCAGCCAGGGTACAAGTACTACTCCGTCCGTAAAACATATGCCTCCCAAAATTGAAAATGCGTTGGCTGGGACAGTTTTAAAGGTGAATGGTGGTAGCAATCATGTGGCGTTTGGTGTTGGGCCAGATGAATGTGGCGAGATCTCAACAGAGGGCTGCATAACACAGGCCTCCGAGAAACATATGACGAAGACAGAGATGCTGCTAGCCAGGCGGCGCAAAACCACACCGTCTAGCACTCATTCTGAAGACAGTCGGGGAGAAGGTGACACATCTGCTTGTATGGTGACAACAGTTTAGTTATAATATACAAGGAGTAGGTGGCTGGGTAGTTTGATACTTGGCTGTCAGATCTTCAGGCATGGATTTAAACCCTACTGTGACAAAAGATGTGTTTTAAAAAACAAACATGTCTGTTGGCGGTAGTTGTACAAGTTTAAGGTGGCAGGTTAATTAGGTGCCTGGCTGTTAAGTTTTTAGACATGAACTCAAATTCCTAATGAAGCACAGGAATTGTATCTGACTTGGAATATGCACATTGGAGGAGCAGCTATCTGAAAGAGTTGTTCCTAATGCTGAAACAGTTGCATGCAATTCCGAAGAAGTTGCCTGTAACATTAAGAAGCTGCATGTAACATTGAAAAGTTGTGTGTCACACTGGAAAAGTTGCCTGTAATATTGAGAAGTTGCACGTAACAGTAGAGAGTTGCATATAACATTGAGAATTTGTATGTAACACTGGAAAAGTTGCAGGTAACATTGAGAAGTTGCATGTTTCGCTGGAAAGGATGCCTGCAACACTGAAAAAAGTTGCCTGTAACATTTACGTTTCTTCTTATATTGTTAAAAAGAGAAGTTCAGTAAGCTCTGTAAAAAGTTAACTGTAACACTGAGGAAGTGTAACATTGGCCTAAAAATAAGCTGTCTGTATGTTAGAAAAACAACCAGTAACATTGCAGAAGTTGCCTACAGCACTTACTATTTATCTGACAGTGGAAAAGTTGTCCATAATATTGACATTGCTTGTAACTCAGAAAAACTTTCATGTAACACTGAAATATTGCCGGCAGTCTCTAAAAAGCTGCCTGTAATATTGCAAAAGCTGCTTGAAATAATGTAAAGCTTGGGCCTGTAAAATTGCAGATATTATCCACAACACTGAAAAGTTGCCTTTATCACTGACAGATTGCTGCGGTGGTTGCCTATTAACCATAGTGACCAGCAGAAGCTTCTAGCTAGTAAACTGTGGACAATGTATATAAATTCTCACTTTAACTGTATGTGAATGTGGATGCATGCTCTCTTTAAATGTATATGTATGTGAATGAATGCTCTTTTTAACTGTATATGTATGTATGTATGTGAATGCTCTCTTTAACTGTATATGTCTGTGTATAAATGCTCTCTTTAACTGTATATGTCTGTGTATGAATGCTCTCTTTAACTGTATATGTCTGTGTATGAATGCTCTCTTTAACTATATATGTCTGTGTATAAATGCTCTCTTTAACTATATATGTCTGTGTATGAATGCTCTCTTTAACTGTATATGTTTGTGTATAAATGCTCTCTTTAACTGTATATGTTTGTGTATGAGTGCTCTCTTTAACTGTATATGTTTGTGTATGAGTGCTCTCTTTAACTGTATATGTCTGTGTACGAATGCTCTCTTTAACTGTATGTGTATGAATCCTGTCTTTAACTGTATATGTTTGTGTATGAATGCTCTCTTTAACTGTATATGTATGTGGATGCATGCTCTCTCTAACTGTGTATGTATATGTATGAATTCTCTAACTATATGTATGAGTATGAGTGCTCTCTTTAACAGGTTATTTATGTGTATGAATGCTCTCTCTAACTGTATGTGTATGTGGATGCATGCTGTCCTACTCCACAATGTGTGTATTCAGTGATTAAGTGCGGTGTCTTGTCGAATATGAACAGATTGCTTCAGTGCATCAGTCCTCTATCTTGTTTTGTGCTGAATTTTGTTTTCAACGAATGAATTTTTCTTCTTCTTGTATAATTCACATATTTTCAAAGAATGCACACTGGATTTGGCAATATTACCTACAAGATTTAGTTCATTGATTAGTAGCTCTTATATAGAATAGACTGCATATATTTTCAGTGAATGCTCACCGTTTGCTTGTTATGTTGTTGAGATGTACCTATAGATATTGTAAATAGATCTTTTGACTGAGCGACTGTCTGATCCTTTCAACCGTGGTCCCCACCAAAACTTGATTTGTGAATGCATTAACCCTTATACTTCCCCATAGCATATTGCTCTCTGTTGCATTTAACATTTGGTCAGAAAATAAAGATCGGGGGCTTCCCCAAATGGTCACTGCAACTATGTATATTGCCACTTTGAAAGTAAAGCATTCACAATTTTGCATCATGATTATTTCTTGTTTTGTCTTATGTGCAACCTTCCAGTGCCGAAAGAGTTAAATCCAACATGTAAATATTTTCTGAACGAGTTAATGCTGTTTTGTGCCCTTATTATTTTATTCAGAGTGTTATCAGAAGATATTAGGAACATTTATTTTTAATGAATGAATAAGATAGAGTGAACTTATATTTTTTTTGAGTGATGACTAAACAAAGATATAATCTGAAATGTTGCAATCTCAATCAAAACAAAGCTGTATAATCTGGAATGTTGCAATCTCAATCAAAACAAAGCTGTATGGCCCACTGGGAGATTTGGACTGCATGGGAGCTTTCATCATCATCATCATCAGAAACAACTTCAGCTATTCAGCATTGTCGGAAGGTCTAATTTGCCATCTGTTGCCTGTTAGCTGGCATTGGCTATTGTCATGCTGTAAGGGCGTTAGAGTGCCTTTAATGCTGTCAATCCATGATTTTCGTGACTGTCCCCTTGCTCTTGTAGCTGATAGTTGTAGTACCTGTGATGTTTGTTTGTTTATACAACGGATCAGCATCATGGCACAAGGGTGATAGGTAACCCATAAGTGCTCCGTTCTACTTCTAACTCAAACCTGAGTCCGAAGAATCTCAGCGCAGTGCATGAACTCTGTAGCCCTGGCGAGGATCCTGAAATACTTGGGCAGATTTTTACCTCCAAATTTTGTCCTTGCAGCGCTGTTAGGCTGTTTTTTTTTTTTTTTTAAACTTTCAACTGCCAAGGAATATTTTACCTGCCCAAAAATACACACAGGCGTCAGATCTTACTACCCAGAGGCCAGGGGAAATTAGAAGTCCACGTGAAAAAAATGCCAGCCCTCACCAGGGACCACTCAGCCCTCTTGTTGTGATGCTGCTTCATTCTAACGAGATGGATTAACCACCTAATCTTGCATTTCTTGATAAATCTAGTACAAGGTGTTGTTCCAGGAGTCTGTTTATTTCATTATGCACTCATTCTTGGTTGATTAAGTTGGCGGCTTTTCCCAGGCATTGTATTTCTCTTCTGTTTAAAAAAAAAAATATTTAGACCTTAGATAATGCCATTTAATTGAGTGAAGTATTTTTATAGATAGGTGAAGATTAATCAAGCAGATCTTTTGATTGTACTATTTTGATCTAATTGTACAGATTGTTAAATTAAGATAATACAACATATATTTCCATTGAGCGTTAAATTAAGATAATACAACAGATATTTCCATTGAGCATGTTTTATTGTGATTTATAGACATGGAAACCTGGATTACAGATGGATCTCTTTTTGGTTGCATGTCCTCTCGCTGTAGGTATAGGAACTTTGACTAAAGGTGGATCTTTCATTAAATACATTCTCTCATTAAAGATAAAGAAACTCTGACTAAAGATGGATCTTTCATCGGACACATGTTCTCTCACAGTAGATACAGAAACTTTTCAGTGTCGAAGAGTTCTAATATCTTAGCAGTAGACTTGAAACTTTTCAGTGTGGAAAAGTTCTATCTTAGCTGTAGACTTGGAACTTTTTAGTGTGGGAGAATTCTATCTTAGCTGTAGACTTGGAACTTTTCAGTGTTGGAGAATTCTATCTTAGCTGTAGACTTGGAACTTTTTAGTGTGGGAGAATTCTATCTTAGCTGTAGACTTGGAACTTTTCAGTGTTGGAGAATTCTATCTTAGCTGTAGACTTGGAACTTTTTAGTGTGGGAGAATTCTATCTTAGCTGTAGACTTGGAACTTTTCAGTGTGGGAGAATTCTATCTTAGCTGTAGACTTGGAACTTTTCAGTGTGGGAGAATTCTATCTTAGTTGTAGACCTAGAACTTTTCAGTGTGGAAAAGTTTTATCTTAGCTGTAGACTTGGAACTTTTCAGTGTAGGAGAATTCTATCTTAATTGTAGACTTGGAACTTTTCAGTGTGGGAGAATTCTATCTTAGTTGTAGACTTGGAACTTTTCAGTGTGGAAGAATTCTATCTTAGTTGTAGACTTGGAACTTTTCAGTGTGGGAGAATTCTATCTTAGTTGTAGACTTGGAACTTTTCAGTGTGGGAGAATTCTATCTTAGCTGTAGACTTGGAACTTTTCAGTGTAGGAGAATTCTATCTTAGTTGTAGACTTGGAACTTTTCAGTGTGGGAGAATTCTATCTTAGCCATAGACTTGGAATTTTTCAGTGTGGGAGAATTCTATCTTAGCTGTAGACTTGGAACTTTTCAGTGTGGAAGAATTCTATCTTAGTTGTAGACTTGGAACTTTTCAGTGTGGGAGAATTCTATTTTAGCTGTAGACTTGGAACTTTTCACTGTGGGAGAATTCTATCTTAGCTGTAGACTTGGAACTTTTCAGTGTGGGAGAATTCTATCTTAGCTGTAGACTTGAAACTTTTCAGTGTGGGAGAATTCTATCTTAGCTGTAGACTCGGAACTTTTCAGTGTTTGAGAATTCTATCTTAGCCATAGACTTGGAACTTTTCAGTGTGGGAGAGTTCTATCTTAACTGTAGACTTGGAACTTTTCAGTGAGGTGAGGTTACAACTTAGCCATAGACTTGGAACTTTTCAGTGAGGTGAAGTTACAACTTAGCCATAGACTTGGAACTTTTCAGTGTGGGAGAGTTCTATCTTAACTGTAGACTTGGAACTTTTCATTGAGGTGAATTTCCAACTCAGCTTTAGACTTGGGACTTTTCATTGAAAGAAAATTATTTCTTAACTGTAGACACAAAACTATTGAGTCAGTGTTATATCTATCCTTGCTGTTCACATAACTTTTGGGTTATGTAAACAAAAAAAAATACATAGAGAAAAGAATAAAGTGAAAATGATGAGGGGGTCAAGAGGTTAGCTGCAGGCAGGGCAAAGGTTAGGGTCACTTGTCTTGAG